AGCGTACGGAGTGCCGCTGTGAGAGAGCAGCCCAGCCGGGCTTGCTGTGCAGGCGGGGGAGCTGGGCGGCAGGAGAGGGAAGCCCAATCGCTGCCACCTGAACTCCCCCGCAGGGCTCCTCCCCTCGCTGGTGGTCAGGATTGACGTGGGGGAAGGTGCTTGGTGCGCTGCCACTTGTGCCAGCTCCAGGGGTTCTTTGCTCCAGGGGTTCTCTGCAGCTCTCCCCACCCCCCCTTCCCGGCCCCGCCGTCTTTCACCCCTGGGAGCCAGATTCCCCACGGTTTCAAAGTGACCCCTTCCCAGCTGTTCTTGAGTGTAGCTAGTCCTGCTGTCCAAGGCACAGCAATGCCCACCACTCTGGATCGCTGGAGAGCAGTGATGCTTCCGAGCTGGGCAGGGGACTCCGGCGTGTGTGGGCAGAGCCATCCCCCCCCCCCCCCCTCGCCTGCCCCCAGCGTGACCCCCCACCGAGGACAAGGAGGATGGCCATGCTTCTGCTTGGAAACAGAAATGCACGCAGAGAGTCAGGCAGCCCTGGCAAACTTTCGCTGTCGTAGGAATGCGACACACACACACACACACACCCTGTCCGTGTGCTTTCCCCTGTGCTAGTGCTCTCCTGCACCACTGTCCACATTTGCACGGCTCTACTCAGAAGCCGTTTCAGCAGGGGACCTGGAAGAAAATGCCTGGTTCTCCTGCCTCCTGCTTCCCCTTCCTGCTGGAGCTGTGCTCCCATTGGCTGCCCACAGCTGCTGAAAGAGAAGAGGTTGGATTCATACCCCATGGCCCTTCACTACCCAGAGGAGTCTCAGAGCGGCTGACAATCCCTTTCCCTTCCCCTTCCCACAATAGACAGCCTGTGAGGGAGGTGGGGCGGAGAGAGCTCTCCCAAGAACTGCCCTTGAGAGAACTTATCTGAGAGAACTTATGACTGACCCAAGGTCACACCAGCAGCTGCATGTGGAGGAGTGGGGAATTAAACCTGCATTCCTAACCACTACACCAAATTGGCTCTCAAGGGGCTTCCAGTCATTTTTTTACAGCAATCTGAGAGTTACTCTCATTTCGCTAGACTCAGATCACTTTTAAAGATTTTTTTTAAAAAAAACATGTAAAACAAGGGAATGGCAGAAGGTACGGAGTGGGTGGAACGATCTGGATGTGAGAGTACAGGGCTGGGAGGAAACATCCAAGGGAATCTGTGTGCTTTTGAATTACCTTTGGCTTGGAAGCAAAGCCAGGGAAAACCCGGCACAAAAGTACACTCAGAAAACCCAGGGAAACAGCAGACAGGAAGCGAACTGAGTGCTGGAGAGAGGGAAAACAACGCAGAACGAAAAAGAAAGCCCGACGGACACGCACGGTGAAAGTGAGGGGAAGCGCTTGTGCATAACAGGCTATGCTCCATCATTGGCCCACAGAGGGTCTTGGACGACGGTCCCCGTCTGTTTTATGCCAGAGGTTGGCCCAGCACTTGCTTTCTCCTGCTTCCCACCTCCTTCCAAACTGACATGCCCCTTGGAGGGAATACGGATAGTTATATGGTTGAAAGTAAAATAAGGTGCAATCATTAAAGGAGCAACAAAGGAAGGCCCTTCCATGTGCAGGAGTCAGCACCATCTGAAAGCTCTGGAGTTGAAAGGCTGTTCTTGTTAAACGGAAGCGTATTACTGAAAACAGACTTCTGCTGATTAATTTCTAAGTTGTATTTTGGTCACATTGAAACAAAGCTGTAAGAGAGTTTGGTGTTTTGCTTCCTCTTGTGGACTATAATCAAGGCTTCTTCATAAGGAAATCTCTTTGTTGTGAAAATACCATTGAAAATATAAATTTCAGATCCTGCAACACCATGTTACTTAGAGGCATGGTGGCAAGAGAGGTGTCAGTGCATAAAATACTGGGGTCAGTGCCGTCTACAGGCTAAATAAACACGTACTCCTTGGTGTCATTCCAAATCTCTGGCCTAGAAAACCACCGTGTGTGTGGCTATGCCGTGCATGTGGCTCAAGGTTCCTTCTTTCTGTCATCCCAGCTGTCTTAGCGACTGCAGGATCCAGCAGCACTGCTGTAACACTGGAACAATTCTCTGATCTATTATTCATATTCAAGTCTGCTGTACAGGCCTTGCTTTCTTTATTCATCTAGTGCATGACTTCAGTTTGGTGTTTATCTCTGCAAAGGGAAATGGAGGGGGGGATTGGTCCACAGTTCTAAGTATGCCACAAAGAACTTGGTTGCCTTCCAGGGACTGTAGTGCCAGGATGTAGGACAGAGGGTGTTTTGTTGTTTGTGGAGAAGAATGAAGCATTGATTTGTAGAGTCTCTTAGAGCTTCTGTACTAGGATTTTTTCATATGCAACAAAGGCAGGAAGAATTAGCCTTCTGGGCAGAAAGGGTGTTTTTCTTAGGTGAAAGCCAAGGTACACAATGTTTGGATTGCGGTTAGGGACAGAAACATAGTCCAATTGTTCTGGTGTTGGTATGCGGGTCAATATTGTGTAGCCAAAATGGATTTTGTATATTGGCACATATATTGACACGCATATATTGACACACATAGGTTTCTGAAGCTCTCCAGCAATCACAGCCAACTTGGTATTTTACCCAAAAATGTCCTCCATGAGCCCTAGGTAGGTGCCTTCTCCAATGCCAGATAGCACATTGCATGTTTGGGCCATGTAAGCCGCAGACTGTGCACAGGCCTGTGCTCGGTTCCCGTTAATGAAACTGGATGCCATATGCATTACATTATGGAAGTAGCCAATATTCAGATGGCTGGATTAATTAATAGCCCTTTCTTCAGTGCAAGGGTGCATTTAAGGCTTAATGTTTCTCTCATAAGAACATAAGAGACGCCAATGTTGGATCAGGCCAAAGGCCCATCCAGTCCAACACTCTGTGTCACATAGTGGCCAGAAATACCAGTTGCCATCAGGAGGTCCAGCAGTGGGGCCAGGGCACTAGAAGCCCTCCCACTGTTGACCCCCCCCCCCCAGCCCCAAGAAGAAAAAAATTCCAAGTGTGAATCACTCTTTGGGTGAAGAAGGACTTCCTTTTATCCGTTCTAACCCGACCGCTCAGCAGTTTCATGGAGTGCCCACGAGGAGTTCTTGTATTGTGAGAAAGGGAGAAAAGTACCTCTTTCTCTACCTGCTCTATCCCACGCATAATCTTATAAACCTCAATCATGTCACCCCTCAGTCGTCGTTTCTCCAAGCTAAAGAGCCCTAAGCGCCTTAACCTTTCCTCATAGGGAAAGTGTTCCAACCCTTTTATCATTCGAGTTGCCCTTTTCTGCACTTTTCCCAAAGCTATAATATCCTTTTTAAGGTGTGGTGACCAGAACGGCACACAGTATTCCAGATGAGGCCACGCCATTGATTTATACAGGGGCATTATGATATTGGCTGATCTGTTTTCAATACCCTTCCTAATAATCCCCAGCACAGCATCGGCCTTCTTCGTTGCAGAGTCACTCTCTTTGCACCTGTTGTCCTGTCCTCTGCGGCTTTGTTAGTATAAACACTTGCCACTGAGATAAAGGGCAAACAAAATGATGCTGTTTTATATCATTAATTTGTGTAATTTCTGTAGATTCAGGTGGGGTAGCCATGGTGTTCTGAAGCAGCAGAACTAAGTTGGAGTCCAGTGGCACATTTAAGACCAACAAAGTTTTATTCAAGGTTGAATAAATGCCTTGAATAAAACTTTGTTGGTCTTAAAGGTGCCATTGGACTCAAATTTTGTTCTGTAATTTCTGTAGTTAGCTGTTAAATGCAGGACTGCTGGATTTCTTTTAGGTTTTTTTTTTTATTTGATCCAGAAGGGCTTCTATGTTTCTGTTTATTGCACATAGGTAAAGGTAAAGGTTTCCCTTGCTCGAAAGCTAGTCAAATCCGACTCTAGGGATGCGGTGCTCATCTCTGTTTCCAAGCCAAAGAGCCAACGCTGTCCGAAGACATTTCCGTGGTCATGTGGCCGGCATGACTAGACGCTGAGGCGCACGGAACGCTGTTACCTTCCCACCGAAGCGGTACCTGTTTATCTACTTGCAATTTCTTGGTTTCAAACTGCTAGGTTGGCAGGAGCCAGGGCCAGAGACGGGAGCTCACTCCATCGTGTGGCACTCGGGTCTCGACCTGCTGAGCTACCGACCTCCCCAAAGTGGAAGGGCCCAAGACAACCTTCCTTCTTTTCTGTGAAGGGTTAGGGTTAGGCTTGCTTCACGGGCTTCCTGAGACTGAAACATGAAGTTTCATACCTCCAGGGTTCTCCAGAGGTGCAGGGTTTGGGGGGCGGTTCTTCCTTGAAAAGTTCCCTCTGTTGGCATCACCGTTAGCACAATAGCAGCAATAAGCCATGGTCTGATGCTACATGTGGACAAACCCTGTGCTTGTGCAGTTCATATTTAGGGGCATGCCTTAGTTTGTCATTACATCCAAAACAGCAGACTTTGGCTTCTCTGCCAAAGCTGGATTTCAGATCACCTTCAAATGATGCTGCCGCTCCAGTTTGGAGGGGAAGCACAAAATCATCGTTTGCCTGGTAGGATGTAAGGATGGACTGGCTTATGCCAAAGCAGAAATTGCTAGTTTACTTGCAGCCTGAAAGGAAGAGGAGGGATTATGTGAGTGCAGCACTTGCTCTTGGGGCTGTGTCCTGTGCCTGAGCCAGCCCCCTGTGGGACCTGTGGCAGGGGTTGCGCTGGACATTCCTTGGACCTTCCCCCCCCCCCCTTGATGCAGCCAGTTTTTTGAACACCTTCACATTCTGAAAAGGGGCAATGTTTGCTTAGTCTCACTGGGAAAAACGCTGCTTCCTCACCGTTGATTCCTATCACAGACATTCACCATAGTATTACCAAATGTCCTCTTTGTGCCAGATTTCACCA